ACCATCGCGAAAATATCCATAAAAATAGAAAGATGCCCAGAAACGCCTTTAAATACATGTTTATGCCCAAAACATGCTGCCAAGTGAATAATTTGTAGTAAAAAATCCAAAAAATATTTTATCTTTTTCTGTTTCTCATACAGCATTTAGAGAACATTTTTAGAATTTTTTTAATAAAACTTTCTTTCAAAATGTGAACTTTTTGTCATTTTTGGTAAAAAATAACTAAAAACAAAAAGATTTGTAAAATTATTTTTTCAAAACATTATCTTTTCCTGCATGTTTCTCAAAAAAATAGGGCATTTAGAGAACATTTTTCAGAATTTTGTTTTTGTAAGATTTTTTGTCAAACGTCAAATTTTTGTGTCATTTTTGGTCAAAAACTGTTATTTAACGATAATATGTTTAACAAAAATCTTTGTGAGATTATTTTTCAAAATTTCATCTTTTCCTGCAAGTTTCTCATAAAATTTGGGCATTTAGAGAACATTGTTAGAATTTTCTTTTTTAATTTTTCTGTCAAAATGTGAACTTTAAGGTGGGTGACCACCCCCAAACTGACAAAATGCAGGACAAATGGCAGGTTTGAGTGGGACAAAGAGGAACAGCCGCAATCATTCAAAGCCAGCTTTTTTTATCAAGTTACATGCACGTATCTCGCCATTTACCCCTACAAATCAAACAAAAACTCTATTGTACCAAAGACAAACCTAAACCTGAAAAGCACACCAGTAGATGGCAGGCCAACAGCCTTTCTCTGCACTATAAACAGCACGTTTATGAGACACATTGGTAGCAGAAAAGCAAACAAATGTTAAAATGTAGGCTATGACAAGACTCGATGGCCATGAACATATATTCTGCATCGTTGTAGAACTCTATACAGCTAGTATGTGCAGAGTGGACGTTGACTCGATATGAATGTTCATAATGCTCTGCATGGTAAACACTGGTAACTTATATGCTATACTTTCTGTTGTGTACTTCTTGTGTGAGACTCACGTGTACCGTGCCGTTTCCCATCAGAGCCAACACCATGCACATCAGACAAGCCGTTTTACACAAATTGCAGAATGCTGGTTCAGAATCTCCATCCACCGGTCTCAGCCAAAAAGGTGGTAGTTCTCTGCTAACTAATCCCTCACTGCGAACTTATCACTCACTGCGAACAAATCACTCTCTGAGAACTAATCTTTCACTACTAACAAATCACTCTCTGCGTGTTTTCGCAGATTCAGGAACGAATTACTCTTTGCGAACTAATCTTTCAATGTGAACTAATCTTTCATTGCAAACGAATCACTCTCTGAACTAATCTTTTGCTTTGCAAACGATGAACTAATCTTTCATTGCAAACGAATCACTCTCTGAACTAATCTTTTGCTGTGAACTAACCCCAGATTCGTTCTCACAGATTCGTTCAAAAATTCGTTGTCACAGATTTGTTTTCGCAGATTCGTTTCAGCAGAGTCAACAGATATGAAATACGTATAACCAGGTTCCCAATCATAATTCAATTAAGGGTGTGTGTGTGAAAACAAAACTCTGTCCCATAGGACCTAAAGGGTGCATGAATGAAAACTCCTACCCAAAAAAAAAACAACCCCAAAACAAACAAAAACAAAACAATGTCCATGTCTATGTAGCTACAGGAAAGTAGCAATCTTTTTAAGTCAAAACGTCCAAGACAAGTCATGAGCCACTGATATTAAAGTCCAAGTCGAGTGCAAAGTCTCTTTACTCTTTGTGAAGTCGAGTCCAAAGTCATCAATTTCCCTTGTTATTTGCTGGAGTCTTTTTGGACAATCTTAGTAACTTACAATTGCTACCACATGAGGGCACTCCTAATGAGCAGCGTGGTTACGCCGTGGTTTTGTGTTGTCTTGTAAATCACACTTGGTCAACGTCAAGCAAGTTGTCAGCGGTAGTCTATTTAAGGTGACGATGTTGCTAGAGTTTGATAAATAATAACACTTAAACAAGTGGATAAGTAAAAAACCATTGGTATTTTGAATTACAACGTATTCCACTGCTGTCGCTGCAACAACCACTTCGCAGTGGAGCTACGGCTGCAATACTTCGTCAGGCACTTTAGCCGACAGCTAACATTAGCTGCTAACACGCAGCTGTCTGCCACACAAGATTGAAAGCTCATGTGAACTCTTGCCGCTGAAAATAAACTAATTCCTCACAGGTAAGCTCTAGTGCGGTGATGTGGCTTTTAATCATACACATTCACTGTGTTCGCATGGTTTTGGTTTTTTGTACTTTATTACCAGACCGCGTAGTAGCGTCATAAACCTGAGCTAACGTGGCTAACTGTTACTGTAGAAGAAAACGAGACAGAAATACAGACGAACTGCATTTTTAAGTATCACATGTCAGCTTAAAGTGATATTTGAGACCGTTGTTTTCGCTGGTTTGTTCAGTAACAGTGGAAACTACATTTCAAATAAACGAGTCTGGTTGTTGAGGTAGAACATAGTTTGTTGACAAACGTTTTTCTCAACACTTTAAATTATTGTCGTATTTTGCATATATCGTTTTTTTCTTTGCATTAAAAAAAAATCGAAGGATGGAGTCACGTTTAGTACGCGGGTTTGAAGGAGAACATCCTTGTTTAGCATTATTTAACGAAGAGAGAAACTCTGTTATAGGGGTCAGAGCATCGTGTTTGACATTTCAAAACGTCGCATACTGCTCAAAAACCCCTGGTCTGGTTATCATAATAGCTGCACACAAGGTCACGCTCGATTAATGTAGGTAAACGACATGGTTTGTGCGCTTGTCGTCCAGCTCCAGTTCGCTTGTTAGATCTCCGATCTTTCGGTCCGAATACTTTTCTCCTGAAGTCCAGCTGGACACTCTAAATTGACAAAATGTGTACGTGGATGGTTATTGTCTATGTGGGCTTGTGATGGACACAGAAACTGCCCAGGGTCTACCCCACCCTCACGCCATGACTACTAGGATTAGCGTCAACACCACGGCAAACAAAAATGATTAAGTGCTGTAAAGTGAATAAATGAATGTAGGTTTTTAAGCCACGACTGCGCTTGTCTTAGAACAAGGTGATCACTTGATGGTTTCTAAGCATGATGTGTGCATGTTCTCCCCGTACGTGTCGATGGGTGTATTTACAGCTCTTGAAAGAGTTGGTGCTCTCATGCGTTATGTGTATTTTGTTTTGCTCACATTTACTTTCCGTTATGTACACTGTTGCCCCCCACCCTCTATACTTACTAACCCAGGGGTGTCAAACATAAGGCCCGTGGGCCAAAACTGACCTGCTAGGGGGTTAAATCCAGCCCACACGTATTTTAAAAGTAAAAAAAAAAATGCACAAACTGAGCTGATCAGAACTGCAAATAAAAAATACAATACAAATACAAAAACAGCATTACAATAAACCAAAAAATGATTTTTACCTGGCAGGTGGCAGATCAGGAGTGTCCTGTTGTCAAGACAGTGTCACAATGTTGAATCCAGCCAATGGTGATCCGGGCCTCGTGGTCGTGAATTATGTTGAGGAGTATTTGGACCTGGTGGAATCCCTGCCTTTTGACCTACAGAGAAGTGTGACCCTCATGAAGGAAATAGATGCAAGATATCAGGGTAAAGAATCTGGACAGTGAAAGACACTGACCCCAGTGGGGTCATTGACCTTAAATGCACATTCACCTTAAATGATGTTAAGGCACATTTTTCCCATGTGTGTTTTGTTGACAGATGTTCTGAAGGAGCTAGATGACGCATATGAACGTTATCGCAGAGAACCTGACATGCTACAGCGGCGCAAGCTTCAGCTGTCTATTCAAAGAGCTCTGATTCGAAGTCAAGAGCTCGGAGATGAAAAGATCCAGATTGCTGGTCAGATGGTAAGACCGGATGGCTTCTCTGGCATTGATTATTGTTAATTAACATTGTTAGTTAAAGGCTCAAGTAAATGTCAACTGTAGCATTATGCTCCTGATGATATTTTTCTATAGGTTTAACCCACAGTTGGCAGAATCATTATCATTTATTAGCTCTGTTTTTCCCTGACCAACATCTTCACTCAAATGTTCAGGTTTATTTTAATGTGTGCCTAATGGACACTATCTCATTTAGATTTTCTCTTAAAATAAATTGCTCCCAGTTAATATTTCCAAATCTTGAATGAGTGAACAAACATACCTTTTTTTACAGGTGGAGTTGGTGGAGAACCGAACACGACAAATCGACTGGCATTCCGAACTTCTCATTTCCTCTCAAGAAGTCCCAGAAAGCCATGTTCCCACCACACCATCCATTACAACCACTTCTGCATCCATTATGTCCACATCAGCAGCCACCGTTGTCACTGGCAAACCTGGCCACCACGACAAGAAGCGAGAGGAGGTCACACCGAACTCAGGTGGCGCAGACAAGGCCGGGGGAAAGCGCTCCAGGCGCCAGAAAAATGGAGAAAATCGGGAAAGTTACAGTGGCATGGATCACGTAGAGGACGTAGGGGTTGGAGCATCGCGGGAGAAGCGTGCAAAAACATCTTCCAAGAAGAAGAAACGGTCAAAGGGGAAGTCAGAGAGAGAAGTGTCACCCCCAGATTTGCCCATCGATCCAGATGAACCCACGTACTGCCTGTGCGAACAGGTGTCGTACGGTGAGATGATCGGCTGCGATAACGACGAATGTCCCATAGAGTGGTTCCATTTCTCCTGCGTCGGTCTTCATCATAAGCCCAAGGGAAAGTGGTACTGCCCAAAGTGTCGAGGGGAGAATGAGAAGACCATGGACAAGGCCTTAGAAAGGGCAAAAAAGGAGCGAGTGTACAACAGGTAGCTCGTTCTGTCTGGTCTGACAAACAATATTGCGTTAATCCTTGGGTTTTTATTGTTGTAACAGTAAAAGGAAACAGAGAGCCCTGTTTCCCTTTACTGATACAACAATGAAAGGACAAGAGTTGTGTACATAAGTTATTTTTGTAACTGCTACATAGGCAGAAAAATACTCTCAAACAATACAACCTGCATGTTTGTAACCAGCTGCATTCCATTCTCCTTTGCATTATTGTTATAATTATTACTATTATTATAGGAAAAGTGACAAAACCACAATAAAACTCTACAGCATCCTTCAACATGGAGTTAATCTGCAGACACCCTTCTTAAATAGAACTGAATTTTTCTAGAAACTGAACTCTTGTTGATGGCAAAAATAACAGTTTGGTTTGTTTTGAATTCTATATATTTAGTAAATACTTACCAACGCTTAAGGATGAAAATGTCTTTTTATTTACAAGTGCTGAAAAAAATGACGTGGGAGACAAGCAGTGCAAAATCTGTACATAAATTTGAGTTGGAGGATTCCTATATACACAAGTACTGGAACGAAACTTAGATACACTCTGACTGTCATGCATATAACAAGAGTTCACAGCACAGCAAATCTTTTTTTTTCTTTTTAAAGGTGGTGTAAATCTCTGATTTTGCTGAAGTACTAAACACTCAGACGGATCATTCTCTCTAGAAAAAGGCAGGGTGGTCACACTGAAGTCAGAGAGGGGGCAGAGTGCTATGACACCCTTGAGACGAGTTATTACAGCATGTTAGAAAACAGATTTCGGGTGATGGCTCACAAGTTCATGTTCATAAAACATCAAAGTGAGATTCAGCACATTTCCCCTGATGGACTGGTCATGGAGAATAGAAAAAAAAATCCTTCCTGGTGAGTAAGAAAAGAAAAATATATATGAAGAGAAATAGAAGGTAAAGTGCATAAAGGCTTAAAAAAAAAAAAGATTGAGGGTTTAGGGCCCCAAAGTAGGAGGTTCTCCACTAAAACTTGCAGCACACACACAGCTTCACGATGTAGAACTCAGCTTTGAGGACCATCAGGTCAACTGTCTCTCCAGCTTTGTTCTACAATGGCAGACACGCGCTTCTCGTACTCCCGCTTGTTCTCCTGGTACAGCTGGGCGGCCTGACTGTTGGCTGGACTGTTGGGGTTTGGTTCATCAAGCAGAGACTGAGGAGGAGAAAGTTCAAGAAGGTAAGAAGGTTTGAGCAGTGAAGAACGAATGTTTATTAACTTCTAATTTAAGACAGATGTGTAGATGTCGGATTAATACAGTAATAACAGTTAATACAGTTAAATTTTTAGATTTGTCCTGACCATGAGGGAAAAAATATTGTCTGGTCACATTAAAAAAAAAATCTCTAATCTTTGTAAGGCAGCCCTATTCATTCACATTGGGTATTATAATTATTTAGAAGCCCTGAATGGTTCAATGGAATGGCAAATTCAAACTACTGGAAGTTGCAAAGATAAGGAAGACTATCAAAAGTTTAGGCAAATCAATAACATCACTTTACCTGGCTAAATAATGTGTTTGACTTGCTTTTAGCTATGTATGAGTTATATTTGTTTTTGGGAATAAATACAGGATAAGTTATTTGTGGCTAACCACTCAAAATGTATTTTGGAAAATTAATTAATAATTATGTTTAAAGAAACCAATTTGGTTATCACCTTTTAATCATTTTAATTTACTTTTTGAGTTATGCCAAGTAGTACCTTTCTAAACTCTTACCAATAAAAAACTTTAAAAAAAACCCTCTAATAATACAGAAATGCGTTGTTGACATCTCATACCTGGATGGATGTTAGAATAGAGGAGACATCGTAGGTGGGACTCCAACGGTTCTGTAGGATGTCCAAACATATACTTCCATCTGCATAAACTGTGGAAAGACAGAAAAATTACCACCACAGACGTCACAAACATTTTAAACATGCACTATATATGTGGAGATAAGGAATCATATAAAATAAAATAAAAAAATCCTACCATTTGGATGAAACATCTTTGACACAAATCGTACTGTGGGGGGTTTGTTGGGATATTCTTCTGTGAACTCTACAGTTAGTTTAAATGTACCTAAGGAAATCAGAATGATAAAATTACTTGTAATAAAAACACAATATCCAGATGTTTGCTCTCATACATACTTTTTTATGCAAATTAGAGGCACTATTCAGACAGGGTGTATTTTGGTGACTATGACTAACTTGAACTCTAAATAAGACTAATACTGTACTATTTGTGTACACAGTAAACTGTATATACACCTGAAACCTTCTAACTTGTATTTGACATTGCAATAGACAGAACAGCCAAAACACATGTCTATTCATGTAACATTGTTAATATTAGCTTAGACTGTCTGTAGCCTGACACACAAAAGGAGTCATGATGCATTTCTTGTTTCCTCAGATTACTGTCTTGGACCCTTCGTTTGGATAGAAAAACACTAAAGATTGGTTGAAGAACTTCTTAAGGATTTATGTCATCTTTATGGGTCAAGAGTTAGGAATAGATAGTTTTCCGATGATGTCACTCTACGGCCCATACTTCCGTAGTCCGCCATCTTGTGCGGCAAAAGAGAGTATAGATAGATATTAAATACATAAAAGCACACCGATAATGGTTAATACCTGTGTTGTGTGGAGTTCTACCAACCAATCTGGGAATGGAGAGCGCAAGATGAAGTTTTTTTACATAAAGCTATCTGTCACCAAGGGAAGCTGCTGGAGGATATTTCAACAGAAAGAAGGATGCCATTGCTTTTATGTATTAACCGTGCTAATTTTAACCCAGATCCTAGCAATAGACATTACAAAGTCTGTTCTGAACACTTTATTTCGGGTAATTACATTATACTTTAATTTAATTCATATGTTCAATGTCAATAAAATTACAATATATCAAAATGTGCTTTGCATTCTTAAATTCTCAAATACACACAATGCAAATGTAAGTCCTCCATGTAAACTGTTATTCTAATGATGTTCACAAAAGACACAGCCATACATGCTACTGTGATTTTTTACAATAACACGCTGTATTATTTGGGTGTTAATAAATACTGTATGATATACATTGTCTGGCTAATTTTCAATGTCCGCCCGCGTCCACTCAGCTTTGTTGACTTTGTATGGGTCTTTTCCATCCGTTATTTTCAACTTGTCCAAATACCTTGCCTTTGTAATTGTGTCCAGTTAATTTCTATACAACAAGTTGGTCTGATCGACCTCCGGCACTTCAATATTCTTGTCTTTTGTTGTCATTATCGATTGTTTACAATTCTTTTTCGTCTTTTGCTGCACAACAAGGCCAGCAGCGCGATGCATCATGGGTGATAACGATTATCGGAAAACCATCCAAAGTTCTAGTTTTTCTATCAGCAAAGAGCAGGCTCTAATGTACAGCTCCATGATTAGTCAAAAAAATGACTTTTCTGGAACTAAATATAAACCTGTGTATTTCCACGTGGTGGGGTACTGGTACTGAACTTCAGTTGGAGCTAGTAATGTATACCTTCCTGATAAGTCACCTAAACTTATATTTTTGTGATGTTAGATAATCAAATATTGCAGTTAATATACTACAGTCAACTAGACACAAAAATACCATTCTAAAATAGCAATTACAGTTGGTAACAGCAATGAATCAAATTAAATTACTCACCATCCTCAAAGGGTGTTCCTTCAGGGCTGTGGAGGGAACATATTATGTACTAATTAATTTCACCTTTAAAACATAAGAAAGTTTCATACATGAGCATCAGTCTCTTACCCAAATATGACTGCATTCCACACCATTATGTTGTTTTCCGATGGGGCACCGCTGACACCAGCAGGAGGATCCTCTTGTAATCTTTTAAACAGACAAACAAAAAAAGTAATTCATATTTTCTGCCAGATATCTGGGTCCAACATATCCCATAAATGAATGGTCTCCAACTTTAGCCATAGCTAAAGGCTAAATTAAACTATGTTGATTAATTTCTCCTCCTAATAGAATAATTCAGACTTTGGCTGGGTGATTATGTCTGTGCAAATGAATTAAGGTGGAATCATGTCATCAGAGGACAATGGTCACACTCGTTCATGGTGTGTGACATTTAAGTCTTAATTTTAAAATTACCCCACACAAAGAGCAACACTGTTAATGATAGGTCAACCTGCCAAAAAAAAAAACAGATAACTGTAGTGCTGGTGGTTTTAATGTAATAGAAACCATGCATATACAGTATGTATGTGTACTGCATATGCAAATATGTACATGTGTGGCAAGCTGACTCTACAAAGGCTTTGTACTGTCCTACTGGATAACCCTACACATTTAGGTCAGAATGAAGAATAGGTTTGGATAAAGTCAATCTGACCAGAAGCAGATCTGTCATCAGACAACAATACTTTTTTTTAAAGGAACATTATTTTATGATCCTCGCACTGCTACTACTATTGATGCCCAAACCAAAAAAAAAAACCCAACATTTTAATGTCCATCCACATGTACACCACAAACCTCACTGCTTACAGTAGGTTAGAATTAAGATTATATTTTTTACACAACATATATAATGTATATACATAGTACATACGATACTGTAGAAGAGACAGACACTCGGAGATTAAGGTAAAACTATTTGAAATTCCAGGTAATGTGCACTCATGAATGCATTCTACCTCAAATACTTCAGACTCAATTCATGAAGGCAGAATCTAAAGCAGGTGAAGTTGAAAACAAGTTGCAACACATGACAGTGACAAGATTCTTGTGAGGTTTTTACTGCAGAGAAAAATATTTCTTAACACAGGTATGCAGTGCTGTTTGTTTCATAAAAACTAAAACAAATAGCTTTAAATATTTGTCCTACTTTAGGTACAAATACATAAATTATCAATCCAATCAAACATTTTAAATATATATTTATTGAAGATACTGAGATTATTTTTTTTAGCTACTCACTAATTATTTCCCCCTCATGTTTACATTGCTCAATAGAACATAAAAAAACACAGTTTCAGACATGCACAGTTCAATCATCAATTGCACACAAACATTGGACAAAACTATAACTTAAACCAAATAAACTATTAACTAAATGTCATTTATTAATTGATTACATCTGTATCTTTCCCTGGCACGCATGTTGTCTAAACAATAGTTTTGACATTTTCTTCAATATAATTAAACATGTCTTGTATATCAATATTGGAATGACAAATACACAAAATTATCTGAAATGTATGACTAGTCGCAGCAAAACCACATTCACTGAAGCTAAATTAGATTAATTTATATCAGATCAGGCCGCAGGTAGTCAAAAATAGCAGCACTTGATTAAAGGTGACGTTAACAGAAACATGGTTTCTTTCTGTTTGCATAAGGCCGTGTGCGAACACTAGGCATTGTTGTTAAGTGCTCCTTTCGTTTAAACATTTCACGTACATTAGTATCGGCTTGTTAGCACTGTTAGCTTCTAGCTTCGAGGCAAGCGAGAGTACTAAAAAGTTAATATTATTTAGCATAGAAACCGATAACAAAAAACGAAGGCTTATTTAACGTTAGAAAGACAAGTTGGAGTTTAAAATAGCAAAACGTATCAATTACTCGTTTTTTAACTAATCTTACCCAAGCTAAGTTAGCAACTTCTGACTAATCATAGTTAGCCAACATTATCAGCGTTATTTCTTTCCATAGACTCACCGTTTGAAATCTCTCATAAGTCTCCTTCTGGCGGGAGTTGACATATTAACTTATAGAAAAACGTTGTGACTAAACTGATACGCTAATATCAGCTTACTTTTATAAGTAATTTGTGTTGTATTTAAAGAGTTATTAGACACCACAACGATAGCTCCACCGTCTCTCAAGATAATCCAGACACTCTGGTTAGCCCAGCTAGGTTTACTGGACGATACCATGTCAGGTGAAAAGCAGGGATGTTTATAGGTCATCGCCACCAAAATACCTTTTGAGGAATTTTTATTATACTTTTTGCGCCAAATATATCATCGTATTTTGAATATTTATTATTGTCATATATATTTAAGGTGATATATATCTGCTGTGTTCCGAAATTTAATTGTATTAATTTTCTTCTTCTTGCCCACTCCCGTTGGAGGCGTCGAAAACCACGGGGCGTGGTCGGTGTGACGTAATGTTTGTGCATCAGCAGTACCATGTTGAAGGTCGCTCCTGGTGACAGGTTACTGTTGGCATCGGGGTACATGCTACTACAGCTGTAGCACAACACATGAGCTAGTGTTGAAGGAACCATGTAGTCCCGCTGGTGAACGGTGACTGAAGAAAAAATAAGAAAAAGTAAAAGAAAAGAAAAGCTAAATTCTAGAAACAAAATTACTTCAAAAAGATCATTAACACCCAGTAAAACTACAATCGTTGGTCCATAGACATTTTGATCGTTGCTTGTTAGAACACATCGTAAACATGCGTTATTTTATGTAAACTAATCCTTAAACTTCACCATGACGTTTTTTTCATGCCTTGTTGTCTCTGCAATGTACTGTCCCCGCTGCTATTTTAACGCCATATCAAAGTAGCAGAAAAATTGAACACTGAAATTAAACACCTTGTATGTTTCAAATTTATACCGACACTAATAAAGCGGATTCTGGTTTCAACTTGACTACATGATAAACGAACCTCAAAAGGTATAAAAAAAATTCCTATAGATGGCCAAAAGCACGTTAACTAACTTGTCTTTACAAAGCAATGGTTAATGTACGTTCAAAAATCTGAAGAGAAAATTTAAGACTTTCGTTCATGCCAAGGGGTACACAGTGTAATACTGTACTGGAAAAATTGACAAAACAAAACTTCTTGCATATTTAACTTTTTTTATAAGCAAAGATAAACCTTAAGATTTATTGTACAAAAACATGCATTCACTTTACAACAGCAAATAACTATTATAATAACTAATAATAATAATTTACCAATGGAAACCATTCACTGGCATTTAAGGCAAACATCTGATTCAGTCTTATAAGCAAAACCAGAATCATTTGCTTTACAGTCCATAGTGAAGAAGCATGGTGCTGTGAAGAACCAGGTCATAGAGCTGAGCTGCCTTCACACACTTCTGGTGCTCCATCTGGCTGACTGCAGTGCTGATGAGCTCAGGAGAGTCAGTGATGCGATGTTGGTCAGAAGAGAACTCAACTGGTGGAGGCAGTGAATGTCTGACTTCATTTAAGCCATGGCCAATGCAGTGTTTATTACTGGTCACTGAAAATGAGACACAGAAAGAGCATGAATAATTAAAATAAACCCATTCCCGTGTCTTAGAATACAAGAGAAAGATAAAAACAAAAACAATATTCTCAATATTGCAGTGCAGCTAGAAAAATTAACAGTAAAAAAAATAGGTGCTTCATATAGTTTGTATGCAACTACTGACAGAGTCCTTATTTTTAAATAGATCAGATCCTAATCTGTATGTTGAAAGCATAGATGTTGCGCCGTGACACAGTGACCTAGTTCTTCACCAACTGTAATAATTAGGCTACTGCCCTGTCAGAAAAATCATGGTTTTGGAACTTTGACTGAAAAAACCTGAACATTGAACATTTAATACAATTTTTAAATGCATCTAAAATGAAATGGGGCGGGCCACAGTAGAATAATGGTAAGTTTTCAGTCTTTTTCCAGATTCAATTCCACAGTCCCTAACCTCAGGTTGGGTTGCATCAGAAAGGGCATTGGGCATCATATCAAGTAAATTATTGCCACATCGGGTGTCCTCTGATGGAGGTGCCAAAAGTGATACTTCTACATAAATCTATAATACCAATATGTTTGTAGGTAACATCATCTATGGCAAATAAGAGAAAACAAAGGCAGACCAATGTCAGCTTTATAAAATATATCAACATTTAATAACTTCACACAACTTAGTACAAAGCTTAATCTGCCCACTGAATTTTCCAAACTCAATATTTGTATACTCAAACCTGGCATGGAAAAACACCACACTCAACATGAAATAGTACTACAAAAAACAAGTCCCTCATCGTTACGTTATAAAAGATGAAATTATGTACATTAAGTAAATACAACCCAAGAAGTAAGGCTTTTTTATGTTGCAAAGTTTGTAAATACATGCTTTTTTTCTTGAGCAGTAAAAATTATTTGCTAAATTATTTGCAAATACTAATTGTAAATGCCCCACAATTTCAAAATCCTTATTTATTACATAAAGATGTGCAAGCTCAGCTAGTTCCTAACAAAAATGCTCACACAGTTCAACAGTTGTTACACAGTAGAATCAATAGAACATACAGCAAATGCAAATAAAGGAACCACTGTAAAGTAACTCATATATGACAGGGAAGAAAAAAAATTCTCTTCATCCAGAATAATAGTCACTCACAATATATCATGAGAACGCCAATATCTTTGTTACATGTAGGATTATGTAGAATAGTGGCAAACTAAATGATTAATTTCTAGAGCTAAGCATTAAAGATAATACAGTTAAACTGTTAAACTGTTCACATATACCAAATATAACTGTAAAGCAACATTTTTAGATCATCCCAGTATTATTACCAAAGAAAGTAGAAAATACATCTCTCGCATCAATGCAACTAACCAACAAAAACATTTTTAAAAGTTTTACATTTTGACGTTATATGGGAAGCAATAGCAAAAAACAAAACAAAACAAAACTGCACAAACAGGTTCATTAAAATGTGTGACTTCACACACTCAAGCCCTCTACAGGTAGGCATAAGAGTTAGTGCAGCGACATGGAGTCTGCATTGATGCTACAGTGATGACCTCCAGCTCTTTGGCTACAGGATTTCTGTCCTCACACTGCTCCATTGGCCCTTCAGGCGCAAACCCATTCAGCCCAAAATCAAATGGTCCCGGCCCACCTGTAGTTACAGTCGCTGTCAACTCCATGTTCATGCTCTCCACTTCTGCAGCACCACCTAGTGGCCCATTCCCGTTCATGAACTCTGGATGAACACTCAAACCTGAAGGAGAGAGAAGACAGAGAAAGATGCCTCAAAAAATTTAGAGTTCACTCTGAGTTTCCTAGGTGAAGTGGGCGATTCACGATAGTCCTAGCTACAAAAGAAGAAAACTGAAGAAAAACTTTGAGGAAATATTGTCCTAGGGTAAATGACTTTGTGCATTAGGAGTCTTCCCCATGATAAAATTAGTATTGAATCCAGAAGATCCTGAAATGAAACCGTTTCAGTCAGATCCCAACTCCCATTAACCACTAATCTACCTAGACATTAAAACTATGGGTCATCCTGTTTTAATTTTTCTGTGCCAGAATGAGGTAATTTCTCACACATTTTTAAAAAACATTTCTCTTACAATTATTATGTGTGACAGTTAGACAAAGATACAGAGAGAGACAAAGAGAGAGAAACAGAGCGAATGGAAATTAGAGAAAAAAAAGAGTTTAAAAAACTACAGAAATGGTTTTATCTCTGGGACCCACCGTTTGATCTGGCTTTCTTCACTGGGTTTGCTTCCATGCCATCGAATGACCTCTTTCTGTTGGGCACACCATTTGAGAGGCTGCGTTGAAGGAGAACGGGTTGGGTGTGACCCACACTCTGGATCGTGCCATTCAGAAAAGCCCCGTTGCGGAACTGAGCCATGTTTTGTTGGAAGTTCTGGGCATTGGAGAGAACCTCAGCACACTCCTGGAATCCCTGGGCGTGGGCCAGGTCGGCAGCAGTCAGCCCACTGGCATTCCTCATACTGCACAATGAGAAAGGAAGGTGTTAGTAACAGACACTGTGTGTTTGATCAAAACACATGAAATTAAAAATATATATATATATAGAATAAGACACATTCACACATACACACAGACATCCACATACGCTCATAGACAGACATGTAAACAAACCTAATGAATTGTTCCCTCCGGTTTTCTCCCCGTCATCATCTTGAGAGATGACGACTGATCCATATTGGATCCAACTGAGATCTAGACTCCTATTTTTTCCAAATACATGGGGCCGAATATCAGCTGCTGCAAGAGGACATGATCAAGACATCTGTAGATAAGCATCCATACCTGAAATACTCTGTAAAGTAAACACATCACTTTGATCCAACGGAGATCACTGCAGCAGTGTGGAGGACTAAGGTTCACCATCATCTCACAAGTCCATTGCTGATATATGTTCAAGATTCTTTCACAGACCAAAATCCAGGAAGAGATTTCAATGACCAGTAGACAAAGTGTACAAAGACATTTGTACAAAGATTTTTTCAAGTCTGAAGTCTTCAAGAAAGAATATTTAGGGCAAGATTCAGAATCCACGTGGCGTCGGTAGAAATCTTCTGTTTCTTGAGTTGTCAAAGAAACAATTGAAAACTTCAAGCCTGAAAACTCCAGATGTGTCCGTAAGACATGAAGGAACTTCTTTAGTCTGTTTTTTTTCCCAAGAAGAGGCAACAAGACAGTGAAGGAACAAGAATGTTTTGTGCTGCTTCTCAGGGTTTTTCCCCCCCAAACATTTCTGTTCAGAGTCAGTTGTGTTGATCATTTCCAGTTGCAGCAGGACTAGGATTTTGTTTTCCAGTACAGCAATGAATGAGCAAACTGTGCCGTCTCACAACTTCAAAGATCACACATGTACATGGAAGTACAGCCAGGATGGAATTTGGATTGCACCAAGAACATAAAATAGAGGATTAATTATAACCCCATACTGTGGTAATTAAATTAAAACAAATGTTTCTTCTGCTGCTTAGTAATCAATTTAAACTAATGAGGGTACACAAAGCAACAGATGGTTAATTCTGTTGATGAGCTTGTCACCAAAACAACAGTGAGCTTGTATTAAACACCATCACACTGGAAAATGAGTTCTTTAAACAGTCACGTCTTTGTCTACTAACAAGAACGGCTGGTACTAATCTAAGTTGGTATTTCTAACTAAATATGAAAACTGCTACATCAGTCTGGGGTTAACTATATATATATATATATTTTGTGTGGAATAAAAAGCTACTTCTGCGGACACCACATGCTACACTTATCTTTCTTTTTTTTTTAGCAATTGTTTTTTATAAACTGTAAAACCATGTACAGGGACAGGAGCACATGACAGGCTTCGGTTTGGTCGCTCAGCTGTGCTTTTTTTCTTTGATGATGTGCAAAAAGAAAAACGTCTAATTGCAGTATTTATGAAAAAGCATTTTCAAAAGAAAACAATTATATATATATATATATATATACATAAAACAAAACACACAATTACTTGTTGCACATAATCCGTCCCCTTCAGAATTAACGCTTCCAAGGTTCTATCCAACAAATGATTGAACTTAAGACTTGCAAGAGTTTGACGTTAACATAGACGGACTGGCCTCACGTTTAGGAATAGTTAATCTCTTGAGAATTTAAATTTATTTTTATTATTTATTATAATGATACTATACAACTGTTCCTATGTGTCTCCATTCTAAACTTGTAAAAATAACCAATTTTTAAGAGAAAATACATTATAGAAAATATGATCTTTTTTAATTACTTTAAGACCATTGTGGCTCTCAGGCAATTTTGTTTTTTAAAATCCCATAAAATTAAGTATATGTACAAGCTACCATGTGGTATTAGCACAGATTAATGCTCTGTACATTTTAAATTTTCAACTGCCAATAAATATGTAATTAATCAACCACACTACTTATGTGTGGTTAATCATATTATGTTCCATTATGTTGATTTTATGGATTTTAAATGTCAACTCAGTCCATGTCGATATATATAAATAAACTTAGTAAATTGCCTTATTGCATGGATTCCATTTTAAATGAAATAAATAAGCTGTAAAACTTTGCTTTAAGCACTTTGCCATAGCAACACAGATCTAATAACTTCCTGTGAATTTAATCCACAAATCCTTACGTTTTCGCCTGACTGTTACCAGGAATCCTTATTCCAACATTTTCTCTCATCCTTGGTATGTTATATTATATTGTTATATTATATTGTTATATTCTTTTTTCAAATTGGTAACACAAACTACATGGTCAAACTAAGCTTCTTAAAGGCTTAAAACATTTCAGAAGTTATTCCTCTGGTGAGACCAGTCATCTACAGATTTGTGTAAAGTACCAAAAAGAATTTCAAATTTAATTCACACTCAATGTCCCAGATTCAGAGGTGAAACAAAAGGAAACGTTAATTCTTGATAAATTCCTGGTATGCTTTGCTTGTTGAGTCCTAAGCACACATTACGCATCTTCTCTAACTATCATCTCCCAGAGGCAGCCTATAGTCATGCTACATGTTGATACGAGACTCACGTGATTAAACCTGTCCATATAAAGGCTCCTATGATTAGTTCACATAAATCATTAAAAAAATGAATTATATAACAAAAACAAAATAAAAAAAGAGACTAGATACAGGAACAATCATGGATAATAAGCAAAGCATGCAGGTCTAAAACTTTTTTATTGATTCATTATAAAAACCTAGCATTAAAACCAATCACCGCAAGAAATACCTCAACAGTTTGCCAGTGTGTAGATAGGAAGCGATAGTGAGAACACTCAATGCCACAACAGTGCGGCTATCCCAGGGAACGGGGCAGACTCAGCAGTGTCTATTCTCCCCCTTTCTAGGATTACTTGAAAAAACCAAGTCATTTCCAATTCAATGGCTGCAAAACATTAAGACGTACGGTTCTTGTTTCTGTTAACAATATAGAAAACTTTTTGTGTCACTTATTGTCACTTTTATGAAGGAAAAGGTGACAAAAGATTATCAAAAAACAGACTATGATACTGTATAGTGTTAATACTGTGACATACAAAAGAAAACATTTCTGTGCTACAAAGTAAAAAATACCTGGTACAGTAAAAATGGCATTGCAACAGGATGAGTGTTAGCAGTAAACAGAGAAGAGTTCAGTACATGATGCTGTATAAATGTGACCCAGCTGCTGAGCTTAGCCTCTGACTCTCCTCTGTGCTCTTCACTGGCAGCTCATAAACACTTTCCTACCTGCTGGTAACTCTATGATGCTTCAACTAAACCCCAGAGGCTCATGACAAAAATAACCTCAAAACCTTAGTTTTTGACATTTTTAAGGAGACGGTATTGCACTTAAAGTTGTCATTTTTTATAACTACGGCCTGGCCAATGTGCAAAAACATGCAGACTGAAGATTGAAGTGAAGTAGAACATGCATATGGTACTGGCAGGGATTAGTGACATCCCTTGGCATTTGACCATTTTATTTGTAATGTTATTGGATGACACCAGTAGATAAGGCATTAGAGCGGGGGTTTTATGGAGCAATAGGTGGGGGCAATGGAATTTATTAAACACAGTTTTTAAAATATTCTAATACATGCTTTGGATGTGGTGCACTAAACTGTGAGCTGATATATTATCTCAATATAATATATCATTATAATGTGTAACACCTCTTTATTTTTATATTATTTGTTATATTTTTATGTTGTAATGTGTTGTATATTCCTCTATAGTGTCTTGGCTTTAGGGTAAACCTTGAAGGCCTTGAACCTTTGACATCTGTGTATGACTGTATTGAATACTTGGCAAATGTTGGGAATGTGTTGATCTGCTGTGTTTGTTATGTAATAGATAATCCAAATACAGTTGCTTGGATTTTCTTTATTTCTCAGCTCTAATTTGTATTTTTTTCTCTAACCCTCTGATGTGCTGTTACAGTACACCATGTACTAGTGGCTTTTCCAATAGTATTTCACAGAAAAAAAGGATTTCAGGAAACAGAACTTTGGTCAGAAAATTAAAGAGTTACAAAAATTGTAGGAAAAAGAAATCCAGCTTCTTGACCTGGAAAACTAATGTACTAAATTTAAAAAGGCCACTTTTCTTATAGTTGTTCTTCAAAAAGGTTATTTAGACAAAGTAGTCACAATCACACACAAATAATTACAAAAAGTAATGACAACAGTAATTTCTATTTATGTATACGATTGGTTACTGACTACTGTATGTTCTACCTGGTACTGCAGTACCTTACTACTCCGCGAGGCGGCGGCGTTGTTATGTGTGCCATCGTTGCCTTATTTAAAATAATTATTATAACAGAATAGTTTTTTTAACTGTTGTATAATAACAGGCCTTTTTACTGATGAGATGAGATTAAAACGAGAATCAAATTGTATTTTTGTCATGAGTCTCATTCCCACTTGTGTGCCTCAGTTTTCCTCTACCTTTCTAATTCATGACTAAGAAAATAGGAGCTACATGATAATAGACTTAATACAATATCTGTCATCTGCAGGGGGAAAAAAACATCATGTTTATATACATCATGAATATTGTTCATCAACTGACAACCAAATGCACATTGTAGGAAAGTACCAGCACAAAAGCATTTCATTAAAGTAAAATATACACAGAAGTGTGAAACAACCAAAGGTCTAATTTGCAGATTAAATCAAATGACTGTACTAGTGTTTAGAGCTTTAAGTCATGATGACATAATAAACTCTTATCTGAATTATTTATTCATGTGTGATATATCCTGTTCATTCTCAACTTTAAAATAATATTATAAACAATAAAGTAAAATAATGTTTTTTTAAACAAACTGTCAAAAATGTTCTCAATCCTTGTTTTAAACAGTGTTAAACAAATGTTCTCAATCCTTGTTTTAAACAGGAGTCCAGAATTCCACTTAACTGTCATCGCACTAACTTTATAGAATTGTATCACTTCTGAACATAAATGTTTTCTTAGACAATGACAAATTCACTGAAGCTATCACCAGGAGCTTTTTTATCGCTGTTTACAAAAACGACATTCCCATTAATCTAAATTCTGCTTAGTTCATTTTGTTTGATGACAACTCAGTTGTTCAGTTGCTTTGGTTGTTCAAGTTGTGTTCTTCCAATGTTAATGAGGATTGGTTAAGATTGTTGCATCAAATGAAACTATAAATAATAACTGTTCAGAAAGGGATTGAACAACCTTCGAAAAAAAATATCTTTCTCTTACAGTTAAGGACGAAATTACAAGCATGTCAAATCATTTTCAATTGTTTACTGAGGTACTGTATACACAGCAAAAATGACTTGATTTTATTATAACAAAAATTATTAATTAGTCTTATATTATTTTACTCTGCATGAGGAAATTTGAGGTAATTAATTTTAAGCTCCATAAGAACTGACCAACTCAATATGTCAATGTATTCTCTAAACCTTTAAGTTGGCATTGATACTAGACTCATGTTTTATTCAAGTTAGTGGAAAGACAGAGCTGTCACTTATACAAGCATTGAGACAAGTACATAAGCATGTATTTATGATGAGAAAATATATTAATTGATGGCCACAAAGCACCAAAGGGGAAGGGAAATACAAAGTTACATTTTGAAATGATAGGGAGTAGAGTCGAATGTAGAATCAAGAAATCCAGAAGACATGGACAAAGTTAGAAAATAAGATGAGCTGAAGAGTTTTTTTAGCAAGAAAATTAGACCAATAGAGCCGTATAAGGAAATTATATAAGAAATGTCAAGACACCAGTAACAATGTAGCCAAGTTAACTTTTGAAGTATTAAAGAGACAGTTGTTGAAGATCAAGAAAATGCCAAATTTCAAGTCAAACTTCTCCGATGATGGATAGACAAGTAGAACTGAAGACTTCTTGTTCTGCCGCCTGAGAAAGAAAATAACACCTTTGGCAGTAGGGATGTTGCCTATGCATGGAAAAAGAAGAGAGCGACGTATAACACAAAATAAGTTGTCCTCGAAAAGTGTCAAGATGAAAGTCAGCAGTGAAACAGATCTTGTTTTTTCATTTTCTCATTCTCCGTGATCAAGACCTGAGGTTCACTTGAGTACTCTCTAAAAGAGGTCAAAGCAAATGTTGTCGACTTACTTGCCAAAAATCCCAACTTAAAGCCAGAAATCTGTGGAGTGAACTGAGGAGCAGGGTTCTGTCCAGTAGAGACATTTATCATAGCAGATTGCAGAGTAAAATAATCTTAGCCTTAGGTTCAAAATCCTTTGCCAAAATGTCCTACCAATGCAGATTATATTTTCCTATACACTATCAATATCTGTATTTTTCATTTGACTGGCTTACAATGCAGTTATGAATGCAGTTTTAGATATTAAGCTATAAATACTGCACAAAAGTGTGTGACAAAACAGTGTCACTATGCCACTACCCTGCAGGTACAGTTTCTAAATATAGTAAACAGGATCAGTGGGTTGTGCTTTTTTTCATGCCTCAGTTGTACTGATGATAAATAAGCAGTTCAAGTATGAAGGTGTAAAGAGTGGCTGACTCTAGTAAAAATGTATTAGAGTTTAGCATTATACTATTCCATTCAATGCAACAATAAAATATATACTTCCTTAACCAACAGTGTGCATTTGGTTATCAGGTCAGTCTGTGTATTTAAGACAAAAAAAAAAAACAAAAAACAAATGTTAAACCAATGAAAAAACACACTAGATTTAACAAGAATCATGCAATATGGCCTAGTGGACTAAAAACAGTTTAACAACCTTCACATCAAGTTGTCCTCATGTCTGAGTAATAACGGTGCTGCATTTTACAAGTGCAAGTAAAAGATTTAACCACAGTCTCACAGGTAAACATTAACTTTTATGGTAAACTACCTCCTTCCTTGTTTGCAGTCATCTAGGGTCAATAAATGGTTGTAATCAATCGTTCTCTATAAAGTCGGCGAGTTTGGAGTAAATATTATTACGCACAGAAGACAACTTGATGGTAATTGTTGCAATGTAAAAACAACAATTTCAAAGGATTAATAAACAAACGTGTCACATTTTCAGGAGAGCACCATCAAAGGCTTTTTACAAACACTGGGATTTAAGAACATGTATTTAGAGAAAAAAAGCACGGAGAAAATAAAAAAAAAAGAGTATTAATATTTATTGTTTGTATTTTTAATTGTGATACACGAAGTATCTATTACTTTAATGCTGCAAAAAATGATATTTTTTGCAGTTTTCTGTAATACAATCCTATTATTAAAGTAGCCAGAACGTGATACAGTGTTCAACAATTTCCCCAGTGCGAGAATAATATAATGCAATCCAATATAATCTTAACTTTATTATTTTAAAATATATTATTTTATAATTATTTAATCTCATATGTAATATATTTTCTATGATATATTTTGTGAAGCAGCTTTCTATGACTGGTGCTGAAAACCAAGGTTAAAACTTAAAAATGTATTTTTAGCTCATGATAATTTCTTATATAAAGTTTTATTATTGATAAAACTTATTTAGCTATATTTAGCTGATCTTTTAAAGCTGCTTAATCATGCCGCACCTCTACTTTGTCAAAAACCTGATGTCGAGGTTGATGGTGATCTCTAGAAAAGATGTTTCTTTGTATTAGCAAACAACAAGGGAAAAAAAAAAAAAAAAAAAAAGAAGAACCAGGAAACCTTCACAGGACTTACTCAGCTTTCGCTCCCTGAATCAAGAGAGCGTTGATGCACTCTAGGCTGCCTGCACGAGCAGCCTTGTGGATGGGCGTCTCGCCCACATAGTCCTAAGTGGTAGCAAAAGACTGCAGTTACAAATACAGGGAGAGCAGGGTGACTGTAGGTGTGCACAAGAAACATCAGGAGGAGAGCAAGCCCTGTTAAACTGTCAGTGTCAGTTCAAACTTGTGGGTCAAAGCCTAAGACTAGGAGTCTGGGAATCAAGCAGTCTCAAATCTACTGCAATGTATTTTTAGTATATAATGTAATGGGGGTCTCCAAACCCTAGCACACAGACCGGAACTGCTAAAAGGCAACTGCCAACAAAAGGCAACATTCACATGCATTTAGGACAAAAACAGCCGGAGTCCTTAAACTGTGTGTTCAACTGTATTCAGTCTTCATTGCCTTGTGATTATAGTTCAAAGGTAACAAAACAGACTCCATAAACAACTAAAGGGTGTAACTGCAACGGGAAAGTCCTGAACTTTTCTCAGACTTCAACAACACCGCCACCGCCACCACCACCCACACACACAAACAGTTACACATTACTCAGAGTCCAGAGAGACAGGAAATAAAAACAGACAACTGTTTCCACACACAATTCCATATGGGTTGGGCTAAGATACTAGGTTATTTTTCCATGGAAAAAATAGCCTACAGTGTCTGACATTTACATAAATTCAGAACAACCGAAAGCCTATTGTTGATGTTTTCCATGATGACAACGTCATGTTATGTCATAGTGACCTACTACTATAATTTTTCTAAGCAGCAGCAGTGTGGCATGACATAAAGTCCCTGCAGAATGTGCCCTGCACAGAAACCTGATGGAAAGGAGTCCTTACAAGGAAGGAGAAGTCAGCAATTCACATAATCTGAATGTAGGTCAAGTAGAGGGCTATGCAATAACGACAGACACTGAAGATCATGACCCTCAGTGAGGATGATCCTGCCTGAAGGGATCAGCAAGAACCGTCTGTGTGGGCTCTGCAGGATCGTTTCGTCCAAAGTAGTTCAGAAGAAATGACTGAGCCAGGTTTCTAGAAACAATTCTCTCATCCAAAAATCTACATCAGTTCCAACATATTGGATCAAAGTGAACACACCCAAATCTGTTTCTTTTTTTTTACTTTGTAGTTGTGAATATTTAAGTGAATATTTATTGGTGTTTATGTCTCACCTACTTTTCACACAACTACATTTGCACAATGTTCTTTCCATTGTAGCACAGACAACATTCTTTCTTTAACATGTTCACATCAGCATCAAAATGTGAACATAAATTCCTTGACTCATTTCTCACAGAAACAAAAAGTTATCTTATCAGTTCTGTGGTTGATTGTGCACAGGCACGTGTTAAGAATGCGCTCAGGAGCCATACCTGTCTATTAATCTCTGCACCAGCTTGGAGTAGCCATAACAAGCACTCGGGGTGGCCCCCAAATGCAGCAATGTGAGTGGGAGTCTGGGCAAACCTGGAGGTCACAACGTTCACACCACAGCCAACCTGGACGAGACGCATCACACACTCCAGCTGTGTGAAGACAAGGAACATTGTTAGACACAAGACAACACCCCAGGTGTGATTCATTTAAGGCACTGTCTTCAAAAAATGGGCAGGTATAGACAAGAAGACAAGCCAAATCAATGAACTTGGCAGAGTAAAGCAAAGAGTGATCATATTTATCAATAACATGAAGGCAAGATTTGGAGACTTTTTGACATAATTAAATTAAACATGCACGATAATGAACAAAAGCTGGTAAAAAACTAGTAAAGGGCTAATCCACTACCAAGTTAGTAGACAGTTATATTTATTAGCTTTTTTTTTTTTTTTACAGATTTGTGGAGGTAATTTATGTTCTTGTTTCTTGCTTTACCTACATAGAAAATTGGATATCTCTTGGTTTGAGGACAAAATCCTAACAACAGCGCAAGTTGTCATGTTCATCAGCACATTTTCACTCATATATAAACACATTAATTCTGGTTAGGCCTGCTCGGTAACACTGAAAAACAAAAGACAGAACACTAAAATAGACACTAAAAAGGACACTAGACAAACATACTTTTAGCAAATCTAAATATATCACTTTTCCACACATACTTGTCCTAGTTCAGAGTTTAAAAATGACTAAAGTGGCTATCAAAATACGTCGGATGCAATTTCATTTGTTGATTATTAATCGAATGAGCTCAATGAATAATACTTTACAGTTACATTACTACTTTCTGCCATTGTATTAAATCGAATCAATATTTCTTAGTTTTGTTGACTATGTTATAGCTATGTTAGCTTCTGTTAAGTTAGCCAGCTAATGTTAGTTGGAGTAACTTGTGGCTGCAGTTTTTGTTACGCTCCCGAATAGTGATAAACTTTATACTATTTTATTAGTATGGATTTTAGAAGTACTCGACGTATAACATAGCAGTTAAAATATATATATTTTGAATGTAAAAGAAGGAACAACATTACGTTCCTATCGCACACCAGGAAATGGCACTTAGACCGCGTTAACAAAGGAGTAATAGCGGTCGCTATTTTTGAGAAGTTTACCATATTCAACCATGTTGTTCATTAACAGAAAACATGAAGCAGAGCCCGGAACCGACCTTTCCGAAATGAGCCGCCCAGTGTATGGGCGTCCAGCCGTAAAAGGTGTCCTCGACGGCGAGGTCAGTCGGGCTTGCGGTGCACTGTAATAGCGAGCACAAAGCACCGACATCTCCATCCCTGCATGCCCGGTGCAGAGGGAAGCGGCTGCTGAGGACCTCTTCACTTGAAAACCCAGACTCCACTCCCACCGACATTGTTGGGTAAAAATGGCTTTTTAGCTGCAAACCAGACGGAGGAAAATATTCGTGTTACGGCGCAGAATGTGCACTGCCTATGAATCAGGGACATGAGCCACTCAGACTAATGGTGCTAGTGTGTCAACAGACTTTCTGCCTGACAACACAAAAGCCCAAAGACCAACCCCTTCTTCTCTGTCTATGGCGAACTCCACCAACTTTAATACGGCGCACAGCGCCACTGCATGTATGGGGGTATGTTTTGGAGCTTTGGAGGGAGTCGACCTACGAAGGAAGAAACGAAACGCCGTTCTAACGATGTTATTTCAATTTCAATTAATTGAAATTAAACATAATTCAATTTCAATTAAATGGTAGAAAATCTTTTTATTTAACTTTAATTAAACTTTTTATTATAATTAGCAAACGTATTATTACTATTATAAGGGGGCGAAGTTAACACGTTATTATTAATACATTTTGGTGCATGAATTAATGCAAACATTTTTGTCACTCATTATTGCATTTTTATTTAATTATTATATCTAGTTTTTTATTAGTATTTTTTATTTATTTATTTATTTATTTATTTAGTCTGTGCTCTCTGGTAAACACTGACAAACTTCAAACCCCAAGCAGCTTCTCATGTTTATCAGTTCCGGCTTGTGACTGACGTCATGTCAGGTCTCAACCAATGGAAGAATTTGCGATCGGACGTAATACCAGATAGTAAAACAAACAAACAAACAAAAAATCAAACTGCATTTAGGACTTATATATCCACACAGAATTTCAGAAAACGCTAATAAGAGGAAAAGTTTCGTTATTATCTTTCGACATTTATTCGACGTTTTAAACACCCTATGCAATGTATTTCTTGACCACAAGATGGCCGTATACAATAAGTTAGACGAACAATGACACAGACAATTAATGTAATCTATTACTGATCTTACGTTTTTTTTGTTTTTTGTTTTTTGTTTTAATATCAATATCGCTGCAGTTTCTCAACAAATGGTTTGTTAGTACCAGACATACAAAGGAAAATAACTTCCATTATTTGTCACGGTAGCTACTCTCATGATGAAGTTTTATTTCTGCACACCAGAGGGGGATATTGACCGCAGCAGGTCACCGTTACCGGAGGAGGCATTGTTGATTTCCCCACGGACCACTAAAAAAATAGTTATCAGTCAATATCAATCCAAGACGTTTAATTTCGGACCCCTAGGGTCAGTCCAGGAGTTTTTCCCACATACGCATTTCATTTATACTCAAGTATGTTTTAAATGTGGTTTTACTTCATACAATCACACTTACACACAGACACATACACACAAACACACATATACGTTCATTCTGATTGATTACACAATCAAAAAAATAGAACAATAACAGATTGCTAAATTCCTTTATGCAGGCACTTCCATCCTGGACACAAATGTACCTAAAGTGTATTTACTTTAGCTGCATTTATTTAGCAGCCCAAAAGAAGATGCACAGAATGCTTTGTGTTTAAATGACACAAATAGAGACTAACGATGTTATTTCAATTTCAATTAATTGAAATTAAACATAATTCAATTTCAATTAAATGGTAGAAAATCTTTTTATTTAACTTTAATTAAACTTTTTATTATAATTAGCAAACGTATTATTACTATTATAAGGGGGCGAAGTTAACACGTTATTATTAATACATTTTGGTGCATGAATTAATGCAAACATTTTTGTCACTCATTATTGCATTTTTATTTAATTATTATATCTAGTTTTTTATTAGTATTTTTTATTTATTTATTTATTTATTTATTTAGTCTGTGCTCTCTGGTAAACACTGACAAACTTCAAACCCCAAGCAGCTTCTCATGTTTATCAGTTCCGGCTTGTGACTGACGTCATGTCAGGTCTCAACCAATGGAAGAATTTGCGATCGGACGTAATACCAGATAGTAAAACAAACAAACAAACAAAAAATCAAACTGCATTTAGGACTTATATATCCACACAGAATTTCAGAAAACGCTAATAAGAGGAAAAGTTTCGTTATTATCTTTCGACATTTATTCGACGTTTTAAACACCCTATGCAATGTATTTCTTGACCACAAGATGGCCGTATACAATAAGTTAGACGAACAATGACACAGACAATTAATGTAATCTATTACTGATCTTACGTTTTTTTTGTTTTTTGTTTTTTGTTTTAATATCAATATCGCTGCAGTTTCTCAACAAATGGTTTGTTAGTACCAGACATACAAAGGAAAATAACTTCCATTATTTGTCACGGTAGCTACTCTCATGATGAAGTTTTATTTCTGCACACCAGAGGGGGATATTGACCGCAGCAGGTCACCGTTACCGGAGGAGGCATTGTTGATTTCCCCACGGACCACTAAAAAAATAGTTATCAGTCAATATCAATCCAAGACGTTTAATTTCGGACCCCTAGGGTCAGTCCAGGAGTTTTTCCCACATACGCATTTCATTTATACTCAAGTATGTTTTAAATGTGGTTTTACTTCATACAATCACACTTACACACAGACACATACACACAAACACACATATACGTTCATTCTGATTGATTACACAATCAAAAAAATAGAACAATAACAGATTGCTAAATTCCTTTATGCAGGCACTTCCATCCTGGACACAAATGTACCTAAAGTGTATTTACTTTAGCTGCATTTATTTAGCAGCCCAAAAGAAGATGCACAGAATGCTTTGTGTTTAAATGACACAAATAGAGAAGGAATTAAAATGCATTATTATATTATATTGGAAATGATCTGTGCAGTGTAAAAATAGAGTCAACAAAGATGTGAAATTCTAGGTAGATGGGAAAACTGAAAAGCCACATCATGTTTGCTTTTAATTAAAATATTAAGTGAGAGTTACTTTCCCACTAATCAGCAGAGATATAATTTCCATAGATGGCATCAAAAGCTGCTCTTATCCCGCTATATGTGTTTGCCCGCTGGACTCCTCTTAGCAGAACAGTGACTCTGATAGTTAGTGAGTGGCTTCGGACTGAAGAGAATGTTAATGAACCTGGGAGAGGTGCGTCATCCCAGCACCACTGTGATGTTATCACACTCCACTTCACCAGTAAACTCATCAAGCATGCTGCAGCGGGGGGCACCTCATTACCCAGTTTTCCCCAATCAGTTCCGTCACCTCTTGTCTGCATCTGACATCTGGATCAGTGTGTGCGGTTTCCATCACTAATTGGTATGAACAAAGAATGAGAGAATTCTCAGTTCTAAGCAGGTAGAAACCAGTCTGCAGTGTGTAACACATCACTGTGAAGGGCTGTTTTTTCAAATATAGAATAAGTGTAGCCAGACTAAATTGCAGTAGGTCAACATACAATTGTAGTTGCATGTGTATAATTTTCTAATTTTATAAAACTCCATGTAGGAACAGTAGCAAGAGCAGAGAGGAAAGAGAAGATATATAGGAGAATGTGTGTATGTATATGAATGTATGTAACCTACTGAAAATGAAGGATCAGAACAAGAACAGATAATGTGCAAAAATAATTATTGTTCCTTGAACAAAGTGGATTTTTGCGAAAAAAAATTATAATAATTTTCACAAGGTTTTAAACAAGTTCTTTCTTTTTTAAAACATAAACAAGATTTTGTTCAATTTGGTCCTTCCCTGCCTCGTCTCACTCCGACACAGGCAGGGAAGAAGATAATATCTGTGGAATTCCAAATGAAAACATTGTCTAAAGGATACACCCTGGGGGATTTTTAAAACATAATTTGCTCTCTACATGAATAAACTTAATTAGTGGTTCGTAACATTTCAAGCTAACAAACCTTAAAGAAAAGTCACAGCATCATGTGTGTGAGGTATGAGTGTCTCGTATCACGTAAGTCTCCAAATGTCAGGCAGAAAGAAACAGTTAAAAAACACTGGCAGTTAAGCGAGGGAAACAAATAATTACGCCCTCTGTGCACAAATTCATTCGGTTGGAGATTAAAGTGAGTCAGGTGATGGTAAAATGTTATTTCTGGGATTAAATAACACACACGTCACTGACAGGTTCTCGAAGCATTACTGACACATTTATTTTATGTATTCAAAAGTACAAAAGGAGCATGCAAGGCCGAGACGACTCATGTGTGATTCATTTCCAGTTTTGATGAGTGTTACTTTGCTTTGAAGTGTGTTTCTTTCACTTTGCTCCTCTGTGCGTCACGTCAGTATAACTGTGCAGATCTGTTGCCAGACCCTCTGGCTTCATGTCTGTGACTGACCCTGATGTGACGTTTGCATAGGAATGTCCATTCACAGCTAATCAGTCTGGGTCCATATCTTACCTAACTACTGTGAATCCCTGTGTGGTCACCTCTCCTCTGTTTATTGTTAGCGCTTAGCATATTCTGTGTGTCAGAACCTTCTTTTATTCCTCCCCTAGGCAGTTTTCATTGCTTGAATTACAAGAGTTCAAGGAATTGTGTGCTTTTATCTGATAATACACCTCAGAGTCAACTCCACACAGGCCAAAATGACGCAAAGGTGTTAGGTGTCACTTTGGTAACAGAGCTTGGATCGGGGAGTTATATTTCCAGACTTTAACAGGAAGGAATGAAATGTTAGTTCACTGACTCTCTCTCTCTCTCTCTCTCACACACACACACACACACAGGTGAAAACAAAACAAACGCGGGTCTCATCCTGGGTTATTTTCACATATTAATGCATTAATCAACAACCATCCCGCCATAAGCTCCTCAAGCTTCTGGTCCAATTGTCTATGGAGGTTGTCGGTGATTTAATTTCTGAGATATTTCTGTGTTTCCAGTGGCCTCACCACCTGCAGGAAGGTTTAGAAAGGTTTAGGGGGGTTGGTACGGTGCAATGTGATTTGGGTGGCGGTCATTGACTGCTGCCCCCACGACCCGGTAATGGATAAGCGGGTGAAAATGGATGGATGGATGGATATTTCTGTGTCTGGGTGCCTGTTGTAGTGTTAGCACTATGAATGCTACTGCTATCTATTAAAATAACTTAAATATAAAGTAGTCCATGGTTATTCTACGATATCCAGAATGGCAACAATATGAGGAATACACCATAGAATTTATGACCACTCAGCTAAATATGGTGTAGAGCTGTTGGGTAGAGCTGTACACCTCCAGGAAATGTAACCGTTACATTTAATCCC